TAATCAAAATTATAGCTGGTAATTAGAGAGAAAATTACACTCCAAATATTTAGTGACACTGTAGAAAATTTTTTGATTAAAAATTCAGTTTAGATAGCAGGTTTTGTTCGCATTTTTTTGTGATAGTAAATGAACTTGAAGATGATCAGAGACCATTGTTGAGCGTGGGAAGTAACGCTGCTTCAGCTGAGTGACGTCGATCGCATGACACATAACTGTCATTGTCTTCACCCTTCTCTTCGAGATCAGGCAGTTCATATGTTGGCATCTAAAATACAAACACTCAAAGCAAGTAGCAACACCATGTCATTGGCTCAGAGCATTTTCGAGTTCGAATCTGAAGATTACTTCGTTGTTAACGAAAAATTATGATGCACTAGAGAAAAACTGTCTGGAAATTATGCAGTAAAAAGAAGAAAGTATTCGTCGTTAACGAAAACGACTCACCTGCAATGCTTTGAGAGTTGATCGTTTTTCAGCTCTTGTGACTGGATTGCTACCAGCTGTTTTCTCACCCGTACCCAACATCGATTTACTACGATCAGTCACACTACCCGGTCGATCGCTCTGCAATGACTTCTGCTTAGCGCTCATTCCACTGCTGAAGATGAACTTCTTTGCCTCCTGGAAAATGAGGCATTCATCAGCACTTCAGTAACAACTAATTATTGCCCACTGAAATGCGACAAGACAAATATTTATCGCAGGATTGGATAATGTGTAATTGGAATGCGTAAGGTTACTCCACGCTAAAAATAACGGTCGAAATGAAGTTCCTTGATGAGTATTACCCCGACGAGCTCAGGAATACTGCTCCGTCTCGATTTTCTGACTGTTCTTCGTCGTAACACATCCTCGTCCTCTGTATCAATCGCATCATTCGTCTTCTCACTCGCTTCTTGCGTATTCAACTGATTCGTCACTTGGTTCAGTTGTAACATCGATGGCAAATTATGTTGTTGATTGAGTAACGGTCGTAACTGCGCAATTAATGGTACATCTTTCTGAAGCTGTCTAGCTCAACGATCTGCTCATGCGACTTTGATTAAACATTTCACAGAGATCTCAATTTATCACAACGATTGACAAATGGATCTTATGTACAAAAATATTCACGATTAGAATTTACGAATATATTAGAAGCAAAATATCAAATTTGACGCGATTTCATAATATGGCCCAAACATAGGTACCGTTTGTTGAGCCTTGATCCTTCGAAGGCATGATTCAAGCCATGAACGAATCGTTTGCTTTGCCACTTCCTCTTCAATAATGTATTCTAATTCTTCTCGTTGCAACAATTCCTCTAATTGCAATGATTTTCGAATATCCACACTCCGATAGGACAACATGCTAAATTCATCCATTTTATAATGCGAAAGAATTCATCTCATTCACTTCACAACCAACAAAAAACATCAACAGCTCAACTAAAACCGTGGGTCAAGTTCAAATGCTGAAAATTGTTACGGATGACGGATTTATTGATAATGGAAAAAATCGAACATTTAACATAAAATTCAAACAGTTATGTACTGTAGTGATTTCTGCACACGAGTCTCTTAACAAATATAAACACCCCTCTGAAGAAGTGAAATTACATTCGATGGCCAAATAATAATAGAATATGAATGGTAAATCTGAGTGAAACACTAGACAAGAAAGAAGGCGAAACCAACTTCAAAATATCATGAAATGAGATATCATCGCCATTATGTAATCTAACCATCTCATAACACATATGCTTGAATAAAAGTCGGTCTTTATTTGGATCCACTTCAAGACGGCCTTTTAGCAACCGAAGCAAAAATTTCACACGACGAACTGGTATTGTACGCTGTAACATGGAAGTAAAGTGATTCATTAATGGATAACATTCTAACAGTGATACATTTTTTGTCATCTATGATGTGTACATCGCAAACCAAAAATATGTACATCAAAACGTTTTCAATGAAAGAAATACAAAATTTTTTCATCTATGAGAACAAATTAGATTCCTTATTTCATCTCTCTTCTTTCCACTGATTAGTTCCATTTGTTCAACGAACCAAAATGTCATCCATAAGGGGATCCTGAACGATCATCGGACAGTGCGAAAAAAAGCGAGAAAAATAGCTTTTGAACATGATGCAACCAATGAGCTAATTTTAAGTGAAACAACGGTAAAGCTGACTTTTTGTTCCACATCAACCATATTCCAGACTTGTTGAAAGTTTCTGATGTCTGCATAACTCAACAATGCATCCTCTTCACTTGAATAAAACAACGAAAAATTCTCAATAATAACAGCTGAAATGTGCTTCACAAACATGAATATTAAGTGATTGAGAAGTGTACTTCAAATTTCAGAAAATCCTTCAGGTCGGAGCTGAATCAATAAAAAATGCATTTGAAATGATTTTCTACCAGAAGATCTATCAAATGTGAGTTAAAAATAAGATTCATTAAATTCTTTCAAAATCTAGATCTGAACCAAAGAATGCGATCTCGAAAAAATTTAAGATGATAAAATAGTGGCGGTGTATTATCAACAGTCAAAACAACTAACCAACAAGTAGATTCAGAACAATGTAAGTGATGATCAAGTAAAATGAACAGAAATAAATTATAGCACCAAAATAATTTCCACAATCAGTTTGCCAATAGTTTATACCTTCTTCATAGTAACACAACGGTGGGCTGCGCTGAATAGGAGAGGATTAAACGGTGAGTAGTGAAAAGAACAGTTTGTTCATTCTCCAATCTTTTTAAGTTGCTTTATACTATCGGGATTTTCCGAGACTTTGTATTGCAATCGATCGGGGGATTGACAGCAAAAAATATTGAAGTGAGTGATTCAACTCACCATACAATCATGCATAATATCATTCCAGTCTTCGCCAGTCACACTTCGGAATAAAACAACAAGCGCTTCTTTGCCACTTCGGAAATTTACATGTCTGAATTAGAGATCAGTTAATGACGTTTCGCTTTCGACTGATGAAAATTAACAATGGAAAGCGTGAGCGACTGATCAAGACAGTTGCTTTATCCTTCAGAGCGTATCGAGCACAGTCAAATCTAAACTAACTTCGAAACCGCTTGTCCATATTTGACCATTCCGAAGAGAATAACACCCGCATAAGCATAAAAAAGTACCAACAAAAACATCGCAGTGATAATGAACAAACTTCGCACCATGCTCATCACCACTGTTAACATCAACATTTTCAATGTTGATTTACGACCTTCAATGTTGTGAACTTTTTATAATTCGTTTACGGGTAAATTTGTCTGAAGGGTTAGATAGATGTCAACGTGTGAGTCATATCGCATGCTAAAGTGCTTATATCTTTTTATAATACCACATTCAAATTTTCAACAGAACA